TTCCTCCCCAGGATGTTTAGGGGCATTGGGGGGATTTACTCACGCTTGGGAAGGAATTTAAGAGGAAGTCAGAGTACCATCTAAGTTTCTCTTCTCTTCTGATTGTTTTCACACTGTTCACTTGAAAAACAAACCCTATCCTCCTAAACTGACATGGGACTTAGTTTCTGCAAAGAGAAGAGTGACAAATATACAAATGCACAGTGGCCTTGACAGATGCTGCAGCTCTGTTTTAAAACTGAGGAAGATTTTGATTTCTTGCCTCCCTTGAAAACTCCAAAGCTCTTCCTGGCCTGTGCTTGCTTTCCTGGTAACAGCAAATAGCACCTGCCACTTTTAGCTGAGGCCTGTGGGCTCAAATTTTCTGCAGCCTCTATGCCTATGACTCCTTCCTTCCAAAATTACCTGATTGAGTGCTATAGGCTGTGGCAGCAGCAGCACTGTTAAAAACTATTAAAATGCAGATTGCTGGGCCCTACCCATCTTTCAGAAGGAAGAGGTGTCATTTGTTGATGTATACAGACATATACACTTATATGTGTGTGTACACACACACATTTTATATATATATATATATATATATATATATATATATATATATATATTAGTATGGATTCATATATTCATTCTGTGGATTATAATCCAGTACTATTGTTACTTCTTTTCTTGATCAGAATGTTTCAACTTTGGGCAGTTGGGAGCTCTCTGGGATTGGCTCCTATGCTCTTTGAGTTAAGTCTCCACACAGCTCCCCCACTCCCTGTTTTGGGTTTTTATAGCACTTTTTGCCACCACAAGATGCTCCAGGCTTATTCTGTATTTTCCCAACCCCACTCCTGGAATCAACTAGTTCTTCGAGGATCCCTGATTTATTTTATTGGAGAAAGGTATTTAGAAACCAAGATCTGGGTGGTAGGTGTGCTCACTGCTATTGGATTTGTCATTGTTTCTAGTGTTTCTGAGTGGACAGAGCTATGGAAGAATATATGTGTGTATACTTATATATACAAATTTACACATATATACACATGTAGATTTATGTCTATATCTACTTATCGTGTGTGCGTGTGTGTGTGTGTGTGTGTGTGTGTGTATATACCCTTTTTAAGAACTGACTACATGAATACCTTCAACTCCAGTCCAAGGCCAAAGGAGTCATACTAGCCTTGGGAAAGTCATATTTTTAATCTTTGTATAGTTTCAAAATTTTACAAAAAGCTCATGGACATCTTGGGGAAATAAGAAAGCTTCTTTTGATAGCTATTTTATAGCTATTACTTTAAAAAACTCAACAAATCCCAAGCTAATGGCTAAGATGTCTCATCAGTGTACTACCATGCTTAGTATCCTTCAGTCCCTCCTGAAATCTCCTATAGTTTGGAACACACAGCCTTACTGTTCCTGAAGGTGGGTAGACCTGCTTGTTTCCCTTCTCATACAAACTCAGTCTGTCTCCAGCTCTACTGCACAATGCCTATTGTAATGCTCAGCTGGCACTTGTGCATTCTAAATGTAGGCCAAGACACTTTGCAGAGATTACAATCAGAACTTTGCTTTACATGTGAAATCTTATTTTGAATGCAGGTACACAATTACTCACTCAGAGCCTTAATTACACTACCTTAGGATAGTATTAAAACAATGGTTTTAATTACTTTTTGCAGGGGGTTACAAAAGAAACCTGCTGTTTTGTTAGGTGGGTGACCTGCCTTCACTACAGTCTTCCTAAGAACTTCATAGATACAAATTAACCTTCAGCTATGAGGTTTATCTGTGGGTCCTTCATGTTTATTCAGAAAGGAAGCATATTGAATGGGGTCTCCTTCTTCCTCTCACTATGTTTAATGTAAATCCAGTAATGCTTGATGAACTGTTTAGAGAACTGGAAAGAGAATCCAACCAGGATAGCTCATAGGCTGTTGGAGGTGTGGCCCCTCAGTGGTTTGGAAAACACTCTGGGTTTTAAACAGCAGCACCTATAATTATGGAGGCGTCATCCCTTCCATAAAAAAGAAAACAAAGCAAAGAAAGCAAAGCCCTTCTACTAACAAGGTGTGTGTAGTCATAGCATGTGTTCAGCCTTCTCAAAACCTGTCTGGCATTTGTTTCTGGCCTGGTGGAGAATATCTTCCATCTTTCTCTGAGCTCTCATAAAACAATACAAAGGTAAACAATTGGAGGGCAATTAGTAATCTCTTTGGGGTAGCAGGAGAGAGAAGTCACCCTGCTATTAATGTCAAAGGAATTAATCATGGTTTACATAGGTGATTTAGTGGCTTAACTTTGCGCATGGTTGAAAAACAAAGAACCAACAAAGTTTATAAAAGATGCCAGTTTGGGGAATCATGTATGGCAGATAGCTTATAGGACTACCTGTCGAGTAGTTTAAGGCTACCAAGATTATTGAGGTGCAGCCTACTGTAGAAGGGGCTGTATGTATTAAAGATCACTTTTGTCCAACGCGAATGTGTGTGAGACTTGGCTGGGTGATTTTTTTTTTTTTTTTTTTTTTTGAAATGGAGCTTTGCTCTTGTTGCCCAGGCTGGAGTGCAATGGCTTGATCTTGGCTCACCCCAACCTCTGCCTCCCAGGTTCAAGCAATTCTCCTGCTTCAGCCTCCCGAGTAGCTGGGATTACAGGCATGCACCACCACGCTCAGCTAATTTTGTATTTTTAGTAAAGGTGTGGTTTCTCCATATTGGTCATGCTGGTCTCAAACTCCCGACCTCAGGTGATCCACCTGCCTTGGCCTCCTAGTGCTGGGATTACAGGCGTGAGCCACCATGCCCAGCCTTGATTTTTTTTTTTAATACAGATTTTGATTCACTAGGTCTGAACTAGAGCCTGAGATTCTGCATTTTTGACAAAACCTGGAGGCAGTGCTCTGCAGGTCAGCATATCTCATTTTGCATAGCAAGGCTGTAGATTGTTCTAGCACCTGTAGCAGATGGGGTTGAGCCACTCATACTCCTTTTACATGTCTCCAAGGTACCAACATTGCACTGTGAATGCTCAGGGTATTAGAACAGTTTTTTGGATTGAAGATACTTGGCCAAATGCTTTATTGTACATTGTAGTTTATGAGGATTACAGTCCACTGGGACCCATGTTCATAAAGTACAGGTATGTCCAACCTCTTTTCACAAGCACCAATTTAGAAAAACATAAAAATATTTGCAGGCCATATTTATTTATGTTTATATAACTGCATACTTAAAAAAAGCAGCAAGTGCAGTCTTGGTAACTAAGGTCCCACTCTCCAGTTAGAAAAACAGAAAAAGCACTATTGTCTCTAGATTTAATTCTGAGCTTCTTAAGTTTTGTTGTGGGGGAAAACACTTTTAAAGCTGGGGTCATTCCCACTCAATGGTCAAATGTGGTTTTGTCTCAGAGTGCCTGTTAATATTGTATACTTTAAAATAAGAGACCCCCTGCTGATTTCCCGTGTGGACATATAGGAACATGAGGACACAGAGGATGGGCTCCTCTTACCACTTACTGTGAAGCACATGATTTTCATTAGCCATTTTTATCTTCTTGGAAGGAAACTGAGTTTAAGCTTTCATTTAGAGAATGGTCTGCCCACGCTTACTAACCTCCCCTCTCTGAATCCATTTTTCTCTTCTCAACCCTCCCTCCTTTCTTTGCTGTGTTGACCTCCACCTGGATGTCTGCCACATCTATGGAGAGTAGGGGGGTGAGTAGGGAGTTGAAGTTGGTCTTGACCCTCTGTGGCCTCAGTTTCTCCCAGATCTGTAAAGGGATCCATAGATGGGCTGTTTCTGAGAAGCTAGACAAACCACATAGTCTGAGGACTGGTTGCTTTGTGAAATGGAAAGAGTGAGATGGAAACCCACAAAGTCACGACAGCTGGATTCTAACCCTTGTCCAACCATTTTTATGTTGCCTTGGAGGGCAACTGAAATCCTTGGACCTTAGCTTCCTCATCTGTAATGTGATATTCTTAGTTATGCTCATGTTTTTTTAAACTGTAGGAACCTTGGCACTGGGAATGGCATTAGATAACTCTGAATCACATATTGAGAACTGTATTCCTTTCTGATCACTTCAAATCCTTCTGGTTGTTTAAAAACACACACACAGAAAAGAGAAAAGAAAAATTTCCATTGATACTTTTGTCCTTAACCCTTCTTAACATTTGCCACTCTCCCTTTTTTATTTAAAAAAATTTTTTTTAATTTTTGTTTTGACCCTCCAAGAGAAGTCAGTGACTTTGTTTTGACTGTGCTTGTTTTTAATTTCTCATGTGTGATACTGATTTCCCATTTAAGGCAGCAAGAGAAAAAAAATTAAAATAGGTTGATTTAAATGAAAATATTTACTACAATTACCATAATAAGTGCCCTCCAATGAGCATAGTATACTAATTATTCAGGAATTGTTATGTTATATAGATATGGCAAAAATCAAGACACTGGTAATTGTAGTTAAAGAACAGTAAATTAAGTGGTTTTAGTTTTTGTTCAATCTAAAACTTACAAGAGCATTCAGGTTCATCATCAGATGGTAAATGTGCACTCCGGTTTCTGTTCCCAAAATGTGCATATATTTAGTGGCATGGTATTTAGTGAATGACGCCCATGTTTGATGTATATAGTTAACAGTAATGTGGCAGGTCACTAACATATTCTGGTATCTTTGGGAAAAGTTTGGCTGCAGTTAACTATAATTTGCTAGTTTTGCATTTACATTGTTTTTTTTTTTCTCCTGTTACTTAAAATATAACAAAATGGGGACAAGCACCTTTGCCTTGGTGTAATTAAAAATAAAATTATGTCAGGAACATCTGTTTTCAAAAGGGATTTCTATTTGTTTTATCACCAAAAGGTGGCGTCCTACCCCCATGCCCTTTGTTTAAAAACCCTTGCTTTAATTTAACAAAAAGAAACTTCTAGTTGATTACTGATAAAGAAATTAAAATCTGCTCCCCACGAATGTAACGTGACAGTGTTGAAAATGAACAATATGTTAAACCGCAGTTAAATTTCCTTCTAATGTAAACCAAATGGACATCGAGTTCTTTAATAAGGCAGCACATTAAACAGTATCATATACAAAACTGAGTACAATATATCATGGAATTTACAACCAGGATTTCCTTTTGTCTGCAAAACTTGTTGCTAACCTGACTTTGGCCCCTCCTTGCAAGAGAAGGTAGAATTTAAGGCAGTTAAAATGCAGAATAAGATTAGCAACAATGTAAAGATCTTTTTAGTATGGCAATGATAATAATTTTTAATAAACACACTGCTTAATCTGAAAAACAAGATCAGAGGATGAATTGTTCTTTACAGACTATGAACAGATCTGTCCACATTTAAGTAACTTGTTATTCCCCTGAGTTATAATTCTGCAATCAGTCATATACCATAAACATGTTATATTTGGCATAAAATACTTTAGAAATTAAAAGCCATTTTTAATAGGTTGACTACTACAGACCCAGTAGACTGGTTACTTTGTAGATTCCCATTTAGTTTCATGTGAATTCAGCATATGGAATTTCCAGTGATGTCAAAGGTTGTTGGCACTATTAACTGAGTTGACACAAAGCTTTTAGATCAGTGCCTAGGTCACAGTAAGCATTTAATAAATGTTAGATGTCATCACTGACAGCTGTAGACTGCGAGCTCCTCAAGGGCAGGAATTTATTTTTTTATTCCCTCTGTGCCCACTCTGTGGTCTAGAACACAAGAGGTATGTCATTAATGTCTTTATGTCTTAACAAACAAGACACTGAACCCTAGTCTCTAGGAAGCTAGGACATTCTACACAAGCTAAAATGCCTTTTATTTGTCTAGATTTTAGTCTCAAAGATTCAGTGGAAAGTCTTGTCTGGATAGCATGGAACTTTGTGCAGCATGCATGCAACGTGAATTCTCCCAGGCTGGAATTACCTTAACAGCCTCCCTTTCTCTGGCTGTATTCTGTAGCATCAGCGAATGGCTTTGTTATTTTTTTCAAAACTTGTGAAAATAGATACAGTTTTAAAGTGATAGTCTTATGCTACCCTTGAAATTGAGATTTAAATTCTTCCGTAAATGAATGTTTAACAGTATTTGTAAAGGGGCATTATCCAAAAGAATTTATAATCACCTTTTCAGGATATTATCTACAACTGTGCTGGTCTCAAGACCAAAGGGACAGTAAGCCTCTCCCCTCCCCGCAACAGGAAGTACTTTGTAGGAATCCACAGGGCTGACTTTTAATATATTCTCATGAAGAATTGGCCTGGTGTACACCATCCAGCCAGTAGCTGGAAATACTGGTTTGGGAGTCTGGCCTCTTCTGAGGTGATGGGTCTGAAAAAATTTATTTCTATTAGCAACAAAAAGGCATAGAGGTCTTACAGCTTTCCAAATCACGTTTTGGAAACAAATACTCCGCTTCCTTCTCTATTTGTATTGATAAAAGAGAAAGCAATACTAGTGTCTTTTGTTTTATGTATATATATTTCAAAACATTTCAGTCAGGATCCTAATTTATTCCTTCGAATTTCTAAATTCAAACTTCAAAACCGCAAAAAGAAAAAAAATCTCACCTTATCAAAGAATTGGACAAAGCTTTTTGCACGTGACTGATCACTGGGAGAGCAGGTAATTTGTGTTAAACAACGGACTGACATGCTAGCCCCCAGGCGTTTTCCTAAGAGGAGCCATGGCAAGAACACGGTTCCTGATGCAGCCACTTTCCCACAAAGTGGACTCCACTGCACATTCCTGCAGTGACTGACGAGGAAGGGGCAGAAGCTCGTCCCACATTCACACTCTCCTGATTCCGAGAAACAGGGGAGCAAACCCCTCGCTGGCTGGCGGGGTTTCTGTTTCCTTGCAAACAGAGGTTTGTCCTTCTGCTGAACTTTCACCTCCCGAACTCGCCTTCTTTCATTGGACAAAGTGCAGAAAGAAAGAGGAGAGACCGAGGGAGGACGGGAGAGAAGGAGAAAGGGGGTTGAAAACACTACCTCCCACCTCCCTCTCCTTCAACTGTCACTGATGGCAAAACACTTTCACTTTTAACTGGAGGAAACTCACATCCTAGCCTGTCCTCTCCCCTCCCTTTCATATTTTTAGCTCAGAATCCAACCAAATAGCCATCGCATTCCCATCTTCGTCCCTAGTTGTTAACACTCTCCCTTCTCGTTCTTTCCGCTGTCTGAATGGGCCCCCTTTTCCCATCTCCTGAGGAATCCCCCCCACACCCCCAAGCCCCTTATTTTCCAGGTCTTTCCTGCCAGATCCCTCTGTTGCCAGGGACTGCTCAGGCGTTCCCTTCCTCTCTCTGGTCCGCGGGGCTCTGCCTCCCTCTCCTCCTCCCAATCCAGCCTGGACGCCCCTCTCTTCCCCCTCCCTGGATCCCTCCCCCCAGTCCCCCCGCCCCATTCTTTGGCAATTGCGATTTTTTTTTTTTTTTTCTGGGAGCCCGGTTGTTTACCCAGCAGGTGGATGTGACGTCAGGGACGCACAACAGCAAAAAATAACAACATCTCCCTCCGCGACGTGTTGGCCTCTCTCGCGCGCCTTATTTATTTATTTGTTCCGGGATGTCGCGGGGGGAGGGGGTGGGCGCCAGCGCCCCGGCCAACGGCAAAGAGGGGACCGCTCGCGCTCGGGGGGGCCGCTGGGGTGTTTGGCGGGGTGCGTGAGGCGGAGGGGGGATCCCAGCGGGAGGCCGGGGGTCGGGCCGAGGGGCGCCCCCGGCCGGTGCTACCCGCGCCGCTGCCACCGCCGCCGCCGCCGCCACCGGCGCTGGCTGGGCTCCGGGAAGCTAGTCCGGAGCGGAGGAATCTATTGTTATTTATTGTGTGGCGGTTGCACGCTGTACTCGCGGCGGCCCGGCCCTCGCCCGGGAGTGCGTGTGTGCGCGCGTGTGTGCGCGAGTGAGTGTGTGCCCGGGGTGCGCGCGCGGGCGGGAGTGGGCGCGCGCGGGGAAAGGCCCGAAAACACCTTAGTTTGCACCGAGAGACCATTTGCAGCGGGTGAGTTTGTATTTTTCCATTTCTGCTCCACTTTTTCCCAAGCCGCCTCCTGTCTTGTTTCCGCCACTTTAAACAACAACAACAACCAGCACAAAAAAAAAGAAAGAAAGAAAAAGAAAAAAATGGAAAAAAAAAAACTACTTTCCACCTCCAGGCTCCACGTGCATCTCCCCCCAGTCCTCCCCTCTCTTCCTCTCCCCCCAGGGTCGGGGCCCAGCTCTGGGTTGGGTGGGGGCCGCGGGCCGGCGCGCGGGTGGAGGGAGCTCCGGCGGCGCCCGCACCCTTTGGGTTTATTTGCATAAGTCAAATGGGGGCGGGGGCGACTGCGAGGAGGCGAGATCGCCTCCCCCTAGGCCCCTTCACGCCTCTTTCAGCGCTCTCCACGATCGCCTGGGGGAGAGAAATCAATAAGCCCAGGCCGCACGGCGCAACTTTCGATGCCCGGCGTTGGCGTCCGGTGGCCGCCCAGGAGTGGGGCCGGTGAGGGGTCCCGGGTCCTGGCCGCGGCGGGAGGGGGCCCATGCCCGGCGTCTCCTAGGCCCAAAGTTTAGACTTGGAGCAAACTTTTCCCCTTCCTTCTCCGCTGGTGTGTGCCCCCTCGGTGCCCTTGAGTTGCCCCGCGGGCCCCAGCAGACTGACTGTGGCGTCTGGCCCTGGGCCCCGCACTGGGAAACTTCCCCGCTGCCACGCGCGCATTGCCCTGAGAGTCAGTGGCGAGGAAGCTCTCCCGCCACCGCCTCGGAGCCCGGAAAATTCAAACACGCACCTGCGCACCCCCAGCCAGACACGCACCCCCACTCGCGCTCGGTCCCCGGTTTCCCGAGACGCGTCCGCAACAGCCATGGCCAGATCCACGGGTGGGTGCGGGAGCCGGATGCGCTGCGAGTAGTCGCCGCACCGGATTCCTCTCCTTCCATCACACACATTTTCTGATTTTATCCCCCTCTGAAGATTGGGTAACGGGGCATTTCCCAAGCTCCGATCTGTCCTGCGACGCGTGCCTGTAGCCTGGTCCCTCCAGCCCAGTCCTGGCGGCCGATGGCTCTCCGTCCCTCGCTTGCGCTTTGCCTTCCTCCCGAGCTCCCCTCGCTCTATTCCTGTCCCGCGGAGACGATTCCCCGGAGCCTGCGAGCCGAGGCGGCGTGCGCTTCGGTTGGGGACCACAGCGGTGGTGGTGGCGCCGGGTGCCGAGGAGTTTGCCAGTTGCGGCGGGGTCGCGGTCATTTGCTGCCTCCGCCTCCCCTCGCCCCCGCCTCCCGCCTCCCTCCTATTCAGACAACGTCGCGCTCGGAAACTTAAGATTCCTTCTCTTTTTTGGCCCTGGACGAGCCCCCCTCCCCACCTGTTGTGAGCTCCGCCTTGGTCCCGGGAGACTGGCAGTGACACACGCGGGCGCCGGGGAGCTCCGTGCCCAGAAACAAAGTCGCATGCCCCCTCCCAAGTGTTTGCTTCTAAATCTCTGCCTGCAGCCCCCACCATTCCCGCGCAGCTCCCGCCCCCTGTGAGAATAAGGACTAAATAAACAGTTGTAACTCCAAACCTTGCGCCCGCGATTGTATCCCCATCCCACCCCCTTCCCCCTATTCCTCCCCCCTCCTTTTTGTTGTTGCAACTTTGTGAGATCCTGGGGAAGGTGCTGAGACTTTGGCTCGGGCCGATTTCCCGGTCTCGAGATCCTTGCAGGGATTCCCTGAGCCGCATCCTCTCTTCCCTCCACGCGCACTCGCGGGTCCTCGGAGCCCGCTGCCCTCTCTGTCCTGGCCCCTCGGCCTACTCACCCGTCCCGTCCCCTTCAGTTGCCCCCAGCCTGCACGGGGAAGACTTGCTGAGGGTCGCCCCGGTTTCTTGTCGACCGCAGAACCCGAAAGTTTGCAAGAGGAAGAGAGCGCGCGGCGAACGAGCGGGCCGGGGGCAGCGGCAAGCGGCTCCGGGGACCATGGTGCTGCCGGCGCCTCCTCCGCGGGCGTGAAGGCGGCGCTCCCACTCTCTCCCCGGACTCCGCGGGTAAGTCGAGGCGGCCGCGGGCGTGGGGGCCAGGGACACCGGAGAGCCCAGGGCAGCGCCGTGGGTTCTCCGTCCCCAAACAGCCAGCCGGGGCAGCGCGAGCCTAGCGATAAGGCACCGGGAGCGAGGACTGTGCCCATCCTCAGGCCGGTAGGTGCTTCGAAATACGGGACTTCCCCCTCCCCTTTTTTTCTTTCTTTCCTAAATCCGAAAATCTAGAGATCAAAGTTTAGCGTGGAGTGTAAAGTGCTCCGATAAAATATGGTGACATCCTCGCCCCTCTTCTCACCCCACTCCCCTCTTATAACTATTAATTATTTCCAAGTCATTGTGTCCAAATACCCTTGCTGGGCTGATTACAAAGTGTATTGATTTAGTCTGGGTTCATCCTATGCTTCTGTCTTAATTCATTTTCTTTTTGCTCGACCAAAAGACCCAAAATGAAACTTACTTCTTCCTCTTCCCTACGTCCCCACCCCCCAAGCCCTCATCTGTAAGACTTGGGCAGAATAATGAAATTAATATAAACATTTCATCTGGTTGCATTTGACCTTCTCCAGTCCACTTCTGAGGGGCTGGGATTGCGCTCATGTCTGCTCACAGGTATTTTCCAAGTTAGCATTTTCTTTTTGTTACTGCTCTTTAAACAGGAATGCCGGAGGAGCATTCTGGATTCCCTTTGAAAGGCGTCTGTACATTCAAATCGACTACACTTCACCACTGGTCGTACGTAGACTTGAGGGTTTAGGACTTGGACAATAGCTGAGTTGAGAAGACCTCAAGGATATTTAAAGAAATTTTACTACTACTGAAAATATATTGAAGAATCGCTGCAAAATTTTTCCACTCTATCCCCTTTCCCCCACCCCCGTTTTACCACAGCGAGAATCAATTTGGAGGGAGATGTGTAAACTAGAATTTGAAAAGAAATAGTAAGACTTCAGGTGATTTCTACCCAGGGATAGCCTACATAATTGAGACAGAGGAGTTCCTGCTATTTTTCTGTTCCAGAGTGAAATGTATCAAATCTTTTTTAGAATTCCACTGGAGTTTTGATTCTCAAAGTGGAAATACCCATCCTTTTGGGTCCAGGAAAAGAAAACTGGGCTCACAGTTTCAGAAATTTGAAATTTTTTTTTCCCACTCTGTCTATTTGAAACGTCTCACAATTAAAGAGCAAGAAAAATATAAAAAAGGAACTCAACTAGTTACCATTCAAAAGGTGTCAGCTAAAATCTCACAGCAGAGAGGGAGAAAAAAAGGTTGAACATCTTGCCACTGGCTGCATCCCCCACCCCCCTTAGACTTTGGATTAGTCATTGTATGAGAGAGAGGGAAAAAAAAATCATTTTTTTTTTTTTTGGAAAAGTAAAGTAAACAGCCTCCAACTGCTGAACCTTGACAACCCAAATTAAGGAAGCAGGAGAGATCAAACAGAACTGCTGCTGGGTGGTTGTCAGGAGCTGCTACACGGAGAACCCTGGACTATTCGATCAAGCAGCAAGGCTGTATGTTCACTTATGCAGAAATGGACCATTGCAAATGCTAATCTTTGTTGTGCAAGCGAAGGCTCACTTGGAAGGAAATACTCAGCCCCTCTCTGGGCAGCATTTGAGTTCCTTATGGATGCCGAGTCGCTAAACAAGTTATTTTTTTTTTTAATGCATCCGTCTTTATGAGGAGAATGCCACCCAAAAATGTATTAAAGGAATATTAAGTCGTCCAGAGGCTGTCTTGCTACCAAGAACTGTGCAGTGGAATTCTTTTTACCAACATTAGACTCCTACACTAGAGTTAGATAACGTTTTCTCACATTGAGTTTAGAAGATCTGCCTTGTCAGGAAAGCCAAGGTTTTGTATGTGAAGGTTTAAATCTGATGTAAAGCTCAAAAAAAAAAAAAAAAAAAAAAAAAAATCCCTGGTGATGAAGTTTTGTGTCAGCCCACTCTTGGAATTTAAAAAGGCGAGAGAGAGCACTCTCCAGATTAGACATAACCTCTTTTTTTAGATTGACATTCAACATGACCACGTTGCTACTTTTATTCAAGTTCTCTGTAACTTGTCCTTGCTTGTTGTCTAGGAAAATTTAACTGCTTTACATTTTTAAAGGGAGTAGTAACAGCAATTACTGTAGCATTTTGTTTTCACAGGTTTATCAAAGTATAATGAAAGAAACATCAACTATTCAAATTAACTGTCTCAAAGAAGGGGTTTATATTGCTGGAGATGTCTGTAAGATGTTGTGTTTATGTTTAAATCCTGGAGTATAAACTGTAACACTCTTTTTTTTTTTTTCCCCTGGCTAAACTATCCGCAAATTAAATGTCATTTTAAATTAAGTAGAACAAAGTAGGAAGTAGGATAAGTAAACACACACAGAAGAATAAAAATACTTGTTATTTAAGGATGGATGATATTTTTAATTAACAAGTGTCGGTCACATAGTAAGCAGTTTATATATTTTTTATAAGCCAGAGTTTCATAACCATGGTACACAACATGTTTCAAAGTCTAGTTTTTACTGGATATACCTTTACTGTATAATTAAGCAATGTGAGTTTAACATACACATGGATGCTATCAGGCAGTTTTCTGCAGTATGTAATGTTCTGAAAAAGCTATAAATATTTTCTAGTTAAATCATTTGTACGGACAATAGCAACAGTTAACTGAGTTAGTATTGAGCCTAGGCATGGTTTGCTGTTACTGAGTTTTTCTTTGCCTTTTGAAAGACTATACCCCTGGCCTTGTAAATTTGCATCTTAGGTTCTGTCGGAGGGTATGTCTGTTTTCAGCAGTTGTTTAAATTAACAGAAGAATTGTGATATTTTTCAAATATATTTATATCACAGCAAGTCCAATGCCAAAATTAAGAAAGAGAAGGAATATAGCAGATGTGACAACTTCTTTTGAACCCAGCTTCCTCTTTGCAGCCAATCTTATTGTGCATATTTATTTGGTTTTCATGTTTTACTTATGACTCAAACTCAATTTTGAAACGCTATCTTCTAAGATTCCGCATCTCAAAAGGTATGTATATTTAGACAAGGTTAGGTGTTATGGAACCTATCACATTTCAGTAGGAATGCCAGGAATATTTAAAGGGTATAGCAAGAATTTTGTCCTTTAAAAATAATTTTAGATAGACATTAATAAAACTTAAGTAGATTTCAGGCTGTCAGAAAATAGTATAAATTTTGTTTATGATTCAGTTACTTTAAGGTACTTACGTTAAAGAAACTCATTTAACCCCTGACTGAAGAGCATTAAGTGGGGAGGAGAACCCTCCAAAGAGCTCCCACTGCCCTTTGCTCTCCAATAATCTTAAATTACTACAATTTAATTGCAACTTCAAGGCATTCAGTTGAGCTGTTTCTCCAGGACTGAGAAAGGGTTTCCAGAGCATGGTTAGATTTACACAGGTGGTATATTTGTTTGTGTTTTTTATTTATTTATTTATTTTTTTTTTGCTAAGGGCTTTTCCTTTCCTCCTTATCCTGTTAGATGTCACACTTCTTTTCTAGATTTCAGTCATAGTAAATGCCATTTTTGCTATACCAGCAATATTGGCCTTTTTTTCCTTTTTAAATGTGTTTTTTGAATCTAGAGTATATAAAGCTGTCAAGCAGGTAGAGGTTTGTTTTCTAAAGAAAATAACCTCAAGAAAGGCATCTGCTGAATAGACAGGTGAACTTTATACCTGAGCCAACATACACTTTTACTGTTTGCAGGGGATTTTTGTTTTTTAAGTTGATGGTAGTTAGTCCCACCAGGTGATCAAACATTAAGTTTGTGAGACAAGCCAGCAAGCCAAGTACGTTTGCACTTGGGCCCATGCGTTTTCTGAATGATCTTTCTTGTGATTTGTTACTCTACTCTGCAGGCCACTTTGCTATATAATATGCTATACACGGAAGCATCTATATCCTAAACTGATTTTTCAACATAATTCTCTTCTACATTACTTGGATGAATTAAGGTTAAAGTCGCCAATAGCTGGAATACCAGCAGGCCATGAGATGAGACGAGTTCATGAAACAAGGGCAAACCTGGTGAAATTTGGGTTATATCTTCTGCATAATAGTGTTTTTCTTCCCCCCCCCCGGACGTTTGTAGTTTATTTCAGTGTGCATGTGACCATGTGCTTAATGGAAATTAAGCAGATTTGGCTTGTGTCGCCAACCTAAATATAAATGTCATAAGGAATGTTTGATTTCTAGAAGTGCTTTGGTTTTGCATCCCATGGATAATGTTCTTGCAATTAGGGCTGTGAGGCTGGTATTCTGCAAAGAGGAAGTACAGTGGGGGAAAGTGCATGGCGGCCGGGAAACACAATTAGACAGTGTTCTTTGTTTCTGTAATAAATTATTCTTATTAATTACAGTCAGTTTGTGCTAAGGCATTTTTCAAGCCTTGTTTAGAAGTCAGCTCCATTCACAAGAAGGTTGTGCCAGAAGCTATGTTCTTCGCACTGTTGTTTTACCCAGTCGTGAAATCTATTGACCAGATTGGCTTGTGGATGTCTCTGCAAGGCTTTTCTTTCTTTTTGCAAGCCCCTGATGCCAGTTTTTTATACATTCCCTGCCTTGTACACAACAGGTGTTTGTTCGGTAGTTATTTTATGGGACTTAGAGTGAGAAAAAAATGTTTCCTACCTAGCCAGCCTCTGTGAGAACCAGCTGCCTAAAAGGCAGAAGCTAGTACCTGAACAGGTGTAAATGGATGTTTCCTTATGACCCTCCCCAAGCTGTTTTATTTAAAAAGGAGGGGAGGGGGGCTCAGTTTAGTGCCATGAAATTTACAATTCAGTTGTAATAATTTAAGATTATTGGGAGAGTGCAAAGGGCAATGGGAGCTTTTTAGTGATTTGGCCTTGGTGCCTAAAGCTGCTCAGTTGTAGGGTTAAATTAGCTCCTTCCATCTGAGTACTTAAAGTAACTAAATCATAAACAAAATTTATATTAGATTCTGACAACTAATAATCTATTTAAATTATATTAAAGTATCTGGGCAAAAATTTAATTAAAGACAGAAGTACTGTCAAGCCCTGTAAATATCTTGACAGGTCTGCTCAAACGGAACTGATATCACGAAATATTTACATATGTCTGCTGTGTTCAGGAACATCTCAGCAGTGCCTGTGCAAAGCTAATTGCACATTCCTTCCAAATCACATTTTTAATAAAATAGTGTTTTTTAAAGAAGGAACATGAATACATACACAATAGTGTTCCAGTGCTCTGTTTACTATTTACTGCTCTATACTCAGAATCATGTTGCGATGGCTGTATTTCCTCAGACTGCTGCTAATTCAGTTAAATAGCTGAAATGGGATTGTTGCATAGAAAGCTCATGTTATTCTGTTTGATTTCAGCAGTTTAAAGTTATCAGAGGCTAGGATGTTATAGGACAATTTACTGAGGGAAACATGGATCTGAATGTGGCATTACTGGGACCTGTTTATGTTCAATAGAAGAGATTTGCTTAGGATACGACAAAGATTTTCTCCTGAGTTTTATGTTTGGACATGTATTTATTACTCGTAATTCGGGTGGACATCCACATTTTGCCAGATGCTCTGATTTTAGCTAATTTTGTGATTCACTTTATTAGGACACTGTAGAATATTTCTTGCATCAGACTGAGTTTCCGAGGTGTCCTTTCCCCCTCCCAGCTGTGCAATTGAGTCATAATGCTCCAGGCTCCCTTCTTTTGAATTAGGGGTAATATTTTAACGTATATTCTTTGAGCCTAGGGATCTAATGATACAGGGTTTTGTTATTACTCACATGTTTAAAAGATGTTCTTGGTGCTCTTGGGACAGCGACTGCAGCCTTTGTGGGGGAGGGTGTGATGTGAGTTTTGCTCCAGTTTCTCCCACCCTGCTACCTATCTCCTGATCCGTGATGCCCAACCAGCAGCACTGGTGGCTTCCCCTCCTGGGGCTGAGCACGGAGATGGAGGTGGATGCGCATGTCTGAAGTTGAAGGAGGTTGCAGTTGGTCCTAATTCAGCCTGGTTCAAAGTGAGGTCCCCTGCTCACCTCTCTCTCTCTCTCTCTCTCTCTCTCTCCCCCCCCCCCCATGTGTGTGTGTGTGTAGGTTATTAAAATACAGATCTTTGAGTCAGAATTTTTGCTGACTGACATGGTAACGTACATTTATAACAAACTTCCCTTGATAATTCTGTTGCACAGTAGAGACCCATGAATCAAGTGACTTATTCTGCTATATTTCTGGAACCGAAATCTCTATCTTCACTTGGATTTTACTGATTATTTCTTTGATTTTGCCTTCAGACCCATCCTGTGTTATTTTTAATACATTTTGATTATGAAGGAAAAACTGTGGTTTTTAACCAAGCACAAGTATTGAAATCACAGCAGAGCTGTTGTTCCCAAAACAGACACAGTTGCACGACTCCTGGATGTGCCATATCTGGGGTCGGGCCAGTGTCTGCATTTTTAAAAAGCACTCCACATAGTTCTGATGCCCACCAAAGTGGGAAAACTGGAGCTGTCAATTATCAGAGTTGGAGGAAAGCCTGCAACCTCTTCTTAAAGGTTTAATCGAATTGGTTGGCCATTGTAAAACCTAAGATAGGAAAACGGGGCTCCTTTTTCAGAGTCATGCACAAAAAGAAACATTAGAGACTTAGAGAAACAGAGGCACAACAAGAGCCTCACAATTCTACAAAGTATCAGGAATAATCTGGAACATCACTAGTTTTCACCAAATGTCAATATCAGATAATTTCCTTCCGAATTTCGTCTCGTCTGCATCCATGTTTCCCAATGGGTGTTGTCATGCTGTAGCTACCAATTAGTGTCAGATGGCTCTCTAGAATTTTTTTTTCTGAGTATTCCATCTTAATTTTTAAAATCGTAACTGTTTGCTCTTTAGATTAACCCTGCTGGCAGAAGTATTTTCATTTTCCCAAGCATCTTGGGAAATTCTCTATTGTATGTGATGGGGCATCCACGAATATTGATGGAAATATCCTAGCCAACAATGCCATAGAAATAAAGAAACCAAAATCCTAAGAAGAAGGCATCCTACAAGATTATGAAATAAAGGAAGATAAAATGGGAAAGAGGCTTGTTTAAATATTCAGGGCTTCAACTAAAGATCTAAACACTAAGATCAAAAGAGTTATTTAAATAAAAGTTGTTCAGACATTTTTTTCATCTGTATTAATAATGTGCCTTTTGAAGTTACCCAGTAATAACGTGTCCAAAATGCCCACACCTAATTCTTAATTTCCACTTTGACTTTGGGTGTGGCTTCATTTTAACAGCTCCCCAAAACTTGGCAATTGTTTTCATGTTTATAACTTCACAGTTTGCTTTGTCTGTAGGTTTAGGTGGCATTGGGGATATTCCTCTGATAAAAACTTGTAAAATTT